GAAACCCATGACAGGTCCTTCTGCAAATATAGCCTATCATATCCAAAGTATTTCAGCCTCCTCTATAAAAGAAACGAGACTGAAACACTTTGGAGGGGGTATCTGTAAGCGTTAAAAATTGCCCATAGGTCCTCAAACACAGTGCAAGACAAGGAAAAGACGATAAACGTTATTATCCAAGTCAAAGGAATTCATCCAAAATCAGCAAGGCGACGAAGCGTACTCACCAAGAGCTGACTCGCACATTTCCGAGTCACCAGGACTCTTGTTGGATACAAAACCTCCCCAAACACGGATTTCGATGATTTTTAAGGATTCTTTCGTCCCAAAACCTCTCCAACTGCTCTGAGGTTATCCATAAACACGTTTAGACAGTTACAAACCGCAGATAATGTTTAAACATCAATTCCTACTAGGAGACACATCTCAAAAAGCCTATAAATAGAAGCCTAAGGTCTTCTTTCAAGGGGATCGGAGATCTGAGATTAAGAAGGCGAGGTGCTGTCAAATTGACCAGTCAACCACGAATTTCAGAGGAGAATCATCAGAGCTTGGCGAACACTTTCATAAAGAAAGCCCCTTCGAAAGGTTCGTGATTCTTTTCCCTTCTTTCCTCCGGATTAAACTTGGTTTTAATCTCGAGAAGAGCCACAATCTCGCTTGGTCGTGATTGTCGCTTCCGTAATTGTTTCCCTCGTGAAACAAGAGCGTCATTATATTATCGATCGGCTTTGGTCTGCGGTGGTCCACGGACTAACGCGTCCCCGGCACAGGCAAAGATCCCACGCAAAGCAGCGGGAGATAAACTACTGCTGCGTTTTGTTTGATAAAGTTGTAATCTTTATTTTTCGTTGTAAGAATATCTTATAAAAAGATCAACTCTCTTTTCAGTTTGAACTTGTAATCGATAAACGGTGTAACAGGTTTGAAAACAATGGAAAAGGCAACTTTTGACACAAACAACAAGGTCAAGAGAAATGCTCGACAAACAGAAATAAAACCAAAACCATGCACGGGCTCCAGAGACTACCTAGGTCTCTGCCCTGCACGCGGTCGACCGTGAGCCCAAAATCCAGTTTTTCCAGGATTTTTTTGTGTGTGTCGTGTTCACGTCGTGTTTTTGTGATTTAAACATGGTAAAAACTTCACAAATCTTGCATACAAACATGTTAAAGAAAATAGAAATATCTGGAAACAAAATCAACATATATAACCATGATTTTATGCATTATATTTATATTCAAAATCCTAAAACATGCATAAAAGCTCAAAACGACGAATCAAACTTCTTTCTTTAGATTAACCACGTTTTAAAATCATCTTCAGATCTTAAATATATCTGTAAAATTCGTTCTCAACCTTTTTAGTATGAAAAGACCTAATCTTTATACATATAATACAAACGAGTTGTCTTTTATTCATAATCTAATCATTTAGACTCTACAAAATATGTTTAAATCTCTTTAAAAGCATTTTGAAAACTGGGAGGGAGATTAGCAGAAATGATACTTTCCTGAGATTGTCGAAAAACGTTTTAGAAGCAAGGTTGAAGGAAATCTCCACTCCAAAAGCCAAAAACCAAGAAAATCCCACTCGAAAGTCTCTAATCTTCTCCAAGAAATCAAACTAGGGTTTGAGTGTTTTGGTGGCTATTAGGGTTCTTAGGAAAACTAAGAAAAATGTGAAAAACTCATATATATATATATATATATCAGGAAAAATGAATATGGGTTTAGAAATCCAAAAACCAACTCAAAACAGGATTCAAAAATACTCTGCAGGTTTCGCGGTCGACCGTGGCGGTCGACAGGACTGGGTATTTCCAGTTTTTCAAGGGTTTGGCCATTGTTCATGTTTTGAGTCTTTTCTCTCTCATGCATGAACTCGTTCATACTCACAACACATGGTATTATACTCATATACCATTTAATAAAATTTATCATACTAAATATCCATATATCATAATTAATCTTATATTAATATATCATTCAAAAATTATCGGGGTTTTACAGTAGGCATGTGATAATCTCTCATAAGCACAAGCGAGTTTATTGATAGATAGATCATCATCAGATTCCGAATCGCTTACCACACTAGGACTATCGTCTAGTGGTCATGTGCAAGATGCACCTCTATCACTTAAAGTTGATTCCACCACAACGCGTCGAATCTCCTCCAAATCTTCTTGATGTGCTTCAAAAAGTTTCCAAATCGTGTAAGCACTATCAAAATGAGCAAATCTCCTCCAAATCTTCTTGATGTGCTTCAAAAAGTTTCCAAATCGTGTAAGCACTATCAAAATGAGCAAGTTCATTAGAAATACATCAAAAAGTTTCCAAATCGTGTAAGCACTATCAAAATGAGCAAGTTCATTAGAAATACATGGTTCAAAAACCTTATGCAATAATTCTAACACTAACTTGTTCATTGTAAACATTTTCTTATCATGATTGCTCCACTTGGATTTCTCCAATATAGGCACAATATAAGCACAATCAATAGCTTCTAATAAGTTAATATTTCTAGATTCAACAAATATTTTAAATCTAGAGCACCATTGAGCATAAGGGAAATTTTTATATTTTGGAGCAATATTTGGATCATAGCCTAGACGAAATGCATCCATATTCATGATATATATGTGAAAATATGCAAGTAAGATACAAATTGTAGTCAAAATTTGATTAGCACAAAAAGATAACTTGGATCTTTAACTCAATGTGATTAGACCTAAAATCAAAGAGCACCAAGCTCTGATACCAAATAAAAGCACCCTAAGGCTACTAGGAAGGAACCCTAGAGGGGGGTGAATAGGGTTTATGCTAATCTAATCCTAGTTAATACCGATTAAAAACTTTACTAACAAATTATCCTAGCAAATAAGAAATACAATGAATTATTAGCAAGGATAAACAATATAAACAAAGGATAAAATAAACAAACTACTAAAGTGATAGGGTAATATAAACAACAATCAATAAACAAAGGCGATATAAATGATAAGCACGAATATAAAAGAACGCCAATGACAAACACAAACAAACTATATGATCACGGAGTTCGGTCCCCATGAACTACATCTCCACTCCTCACCTCGAGGAGATCTCTACTATCATACCAGGTTTTTTACACTTATCCGAAAAATATTTACACCTCACCATATCGGTTTTCAACGCTCACCAATCAACGTTCACTATTACTCATAATGTAACTACACTAACTACCACCTCAAGTGTTGGTCTCTAGCCTGTGTCTCCCTCAAGTGTTAGGAATACTACACTAACTACCACCTCAAGTGTTGGTCTCTAGCCTGTGTCTCCCTCAAGTGTTAGGAATTATAACATCTCTCTAGGCATTACCACCTACCCCACTCCTCTTGGGACGACCACGTCTCTCACCACACACTCCTCTTGGTGTACTAGTGTAATACAAAGTGAACCTCACAATAATAGCTCTCAATACAAATAAATTGTTTTCTATAATGGATGAGAATACAATTTAAGCTCACTCTCAATGTCACAAACCCACAACCCTAAATTATACTATGAATGTAAATACAATAAGTTTAATGGTTGTGTGTGAACAAAGAGATAAGTCAAAACTAAACTCAATGTAATTCTAGTTAATAAAAATTAAAATCAAACAAATAAAATAGCTAGATTGAGTTTAGGATAACTTCTCTATGATAACAAGAGAGAGGGAGAAGAGTGAATGCTCAAACACCAAAGGATGATCTCCACTTGCTCTTGTAAAATTCTCTTCACAAACTAAAATTAGAAAAATGCTTAAAATCTTTTTAAACAAACTTAAACCAAACTTTAAACCCTTATTAAACTTTCTTAAAACATTTTTCTTAGTTGTTTCTGGTCTGAGGTATGAGGGGTGTTTATAGAGACCCCAAGACACAAGAAAAACAAAGCAAAAAGACTAAAAACCTAAAACAGGACAAGGCTAGAAAAAATTAGCCATTACAACATCAGTCGACTGACGGCTTTCATCAGTCGACTGATGAGCTGACCGTTAGAGGCATTTTCCAGCTCATCAGTCGACTGACGACCTTATCAGTTGACTGATGATGTCATCAGTCGAATGGTCAGTCAACCAAAACAAAACAAAAACTTTTTTTTATTATTCTTGGTGTTTTCTTCAGTCGACTGAACACAGTCATCAGTCAACTGATAACACTGTATCAGCCTGATTTGAATAGTAAAACTAATTTTTAAACTGTCATTAAAAATAGCAAACAACTTCCAAAAAATGTAAAACTTTAGGAAATGATTGTAGACATGATAATGAACGCGCTACAAAGATTGGTTTTCAAAAAGCTCTTCCCATTTATAAAATATCATTATTTTACAAAATAGTCCAAAACATGTAAATGTAAAATACTTGTTTTTGACATTTGACATAAACCATGTTTTGAAACTTTATAAACTTGATTTTATAGACTTGAAGAATGGTGTAAACTATTGTTATGAAGTCTATAAACAATGAATATAGTATTTTAACAAAATAGACATATAATACACTAAAACATGATTTCATTGAATTAAATAGACTTGATATTGATGAAATCATATATAGGCATATAAACATGAAATAAGTATAAATTTTCCAATTATATTTATCTGTTTCATATTTAAACATGAAAACCAAAACAAAAACACTAAATATGAAAGATATAATTTCATATTTATATAAACTTGAAAACCAATAGCATGTATGTATATATTTAACTATATATATACATAGAAACCAAAACTTGTGTATATATATAACTATATATATATATATAAAACTAAAATGTGTATGTGTGTATATGATATTGAGCTTAAAGTACTAACACACATAAGATAAAAACCTAAACTAAATTACCCAAGCTATTTAGATCTTCGATGAAGCTCAACTTGGTACACTTGCGGATGAAGCTTGAACTTGTATCTTGACTTGAATTGTAAGGATTCACTGCACTATTCCACCAACCTCCAATAGATATGATCGTTGAGGCTCAACTCCATCCATCCTTCAACATATTGTTTGCCTAGAATAAATACAAAACACAAACATTACACAAACAATATTAGTTATAAATTGTTTGTTAATCATTATCAAAACAAAAGGACCCAACAATCTCCCTCTTTTTTATGATGACAAACAATTTATAAAAGAGATATATGCATGAAAGGAGATTAATATGTAAATTAAAATTATCATGCATATAACCAAAACAAGATATACCCACTATATTTCTCCCCTTTGACAACATCAAAAAGGGGAAAACAAAAGAATGAAGAGAGCGAAAGCTCCCCCTACAAATAAGCACGGTGAGTATAAAACAAATATAGGGATTGCTTCCCTTATCAAAATGCCATATAGAATATATGCAATAAAGACCAAGGTATAAACATAGAAGCCATGTTTAAAAGATTTATGAAATCAAGAGAAAGAAAAAACATGATAATCATGAAAAAAGTTTTCAAATGAAAACAAATCACTCAAATGAAATCATAAATCAAATGAAATCTATAAAAGTAAACCATATAAGGCAAGAGAGGAAAATATATCAATCTCTTAAGCTTGTTTCAACCCATATGAACATATTAGCACCCGGTAAACATGATTTGGGAATAAAAACCCAATAAATCCGGGGGGATATATAAACACAAACCTCTCATCAAAATAAAAACTAATAATCATGAAAACAAAAGAATTGATCAAAGAAAAATTATTTTCATATTCAAAAAAATTTTAAAACATATTTTTCAAAACCAAGAAAAATAAAAAATAATAAAAATTTTGGTTTTAAAAAGATTTTGACACCCAAGTATTCTTAGTGCCTGATTGGTTAGGGACATGACCCCTATCATTTAAGCTCAAAGCCCTAGGGTTATGAACCCTCTTAGACACATTTGGTGCACTAACACGGTCAAAGCAAAAATTACTCAAATGACCCTTCTGATTGTAATAAATACAATGAAAATGAAGCATTTGCTTATGTTGACCAAACGATTGTGCACGGGGCTCATTTGCAAAATAGGTTTATCTTGAAAATTATTTTGCAAACGAGAAACTCTCCTCAAATCAAAACAAAATTTGGTCAAATGACCAAAACGACTATAATGATCACATTTAAACTTTTGTGGTCTTTTAAAATTATTTGGAAAAAGTAAAATCTTTTTCAAATCAAAGCAAAACTTTGCCAAATGGCCAAAACGACCACAATAACCACATTTAAACACATTAGCATGTTTATGATGAGCATTTGATGCATGTGCATGTGTGTGTAATGAAGAAGCCTTATGAGATGCACAAGAAGCATTGATATTAGTATTTTTAGATTTTTGTGTATCATAACAAAATTTAGCTAGATGGCCTTTTCGATCGCAAATGGAACATTTGTAAATTTTGCTATACATATGTGCATGATGTATAGGATGTTTAGATGTTTTAGCATGAGGCTTAGCACATATGTTCATGAGCTTTTTATGGTTGTTAATGCATGTAGTAAGAGTTGAATCTAAAGATGAAATGCGATTTATAACAACAGTCGACTAATCATTAAACACATTTGCATTAACATTAGAAGTAGAAGGATCATGATTAAATTTGAATGAATTAAATTCATTTCTAATTGTTTCTACCTCTAACATGGCATCAATCTTAGCATGAGATAAGCTAGCAATGGATGATGATAATTTCTCATTTTCTAATTTTAACATATCATTATTTTTTTTAAAAGCAACATTTTCTTGAGAAATGATATCAAAATTGGAAGCTAGCTTCTCATGATCGAATTTCAAAATGACATGCTTGCTTTTAAGATCAATAAAATTATTTTGTAATTTTGTGTAGGCATGCGATAATCTCTCCTAAGCACAAGCGAGTTCATTAAAAGATAAATCATCATCGGATTTCAAATCGCTTACCATACTAAGACTATCGTCTAGTGGTCGTGTGCAAGATGCTCCTCTATCACTTGAAGTCGATTCCACCACAACGTGTCGAATCTCCTCCAAATCTCCTTGATGTGCTTCAAAAAGTTTCTAAATCATGTAAGCACTATCAAAATGAGCAAGTTCGTTAGAAATACATGGTTCAAAAACCTTATGCAAGAATTCTAACACTAACTTGTTCATTGTAAAAATTTTCTTATCATGATTGCTCCACTTGGATTTCTCCAATGTGGGCACAATATAAGCACAATCAATAACTTTTAATAAGTCGATATTTCCAGATTCAACAAAATTTTAAATCTAGAGCACCATTGAGCATAAGGGAAATTTTTATATTTTGGAGCAATATTTGGATCATAGCCTAGACGAAATGCATCCATATTCATGATATATATGTGAAAATATGCAAGCAAGATACAAATTGCAGTCAAAATTTGATTAGCACAAAAAGATAACTTGGATCTTTAACTCAATGTGATTAGACCTTAAATCAAAGAGCACCAAGCTCTGATACCAAATAAAAGCACCCTAAGGCTACTAGGAAGGAACCCTAGAGGGGGGTGAATAGGGTTTATGCTAATCTAATCCTAGTTAATACCGATTAAAAACTTTACTAACAAATTATCCTAGCAAATAAGAAATACAATGAATTATTAGCAAGGATAACCAATATAAACAAAGGATAAAATAAACAAACTACTAAAGTGATAGGGCAATATAAACAACAAGCAATTGACAAAGGCGATATAAATGATAATCGCACTTTACACTTCGCACGGCATTGGGTCGATGTGGCGCCACGAAGGTTGCTTCGCAGCATGCGGACGAGCTACGTATTCACACGAGGGTGACCCTAGCGTTCTCGTAGTTTGACAATGTTTGCTCGTTCGACGAAGTTTATCTATCATACGAGGTTCGCCTATTTGACGATGTTCGTTCCTTCGATGAGGTTCGTCTGTCATACGAGGTTCGCTTGTTTGACAAGGTTCGTCTGTCATACGAGGTTCGCCTGTTTGACGAGGTTCGTTCGATCGACGAGGTTCATATATCATACAAGGTTCGCCTGTTTGACTATGTTCGCTCGTTCGATGAGGTCCGTCTGTCATACGAGGTTCGCCTGTTTGACGACGTTCATTTGTCAAATGAGGTTTGTCTGATTTACTAAGACGTGACCCTCGTGTTTCGTAGCAACGCATCTATTGATTGCCTTGTATTCAGCAGTTACTGAATGCAGCAGTTACAATAGCATTAAGAGCAATTTAATGCAATGATGTTACAATCTTAATTGTCATTAAGAATTGTAACGATCACATTAATTGCTAGTGACTCTTGAGCTGGCCTTAGAGGCCTATAAATAGCACCCTTGGACAGCTCTAGGTTACAGCTGGAAACTTTCTCGCGAGCGTGGAATATGAACGTCAGTATAGAATACGACCGTCGGTATACACACGCGAGCTTGGAAAACGAACATCGGATCGACGTTGTTGTTGCTGTTGTTGTGTAGCTGCTGCAGAAACTATGCCCGCAGGAACCCTGAAACCGAAAGGTTTTGAACCAAAAGGTTCTGAGATCGTGGAGATCTTTTGCCTTGACCGAAATGTCTTATAGATCAAGAAGATCTTGACAGTACTGGGTTGGTGCACATCAGAGTACTGTACTGTTATTCCTGAAAGTAGTTTGGCCTTGGGATCCTTGCACCGGAGTAGGCCAAATATTACTTTAAGCACAGCGTTTCACAAACGCACAGCAGCTAATTAAAAAAATTTAAAATAACAGCACATCATCCTTCACTGTTTAATTCCAGATTTAACCATAATTTCCAACAATCTTAAAGCAATATTTCAGATCTACTAATGGATCCTGCAAGGACTCTTAGAGTAGACTGTCTCAAGTTAGAAAACTTTGATGGATCTAACTTTAACGCATAGCGTTGAAAAGTGATTTTTGGGATGCAACCCCTAAAATCTGCTATGTTATTTCTGAGGAAAAACCTAACTTTAAAGAAGACTCAGAGTCTAAAGCCTCTTGGGATAAAGATGATCATTTCTGTAGGAGTTATCTCCTTAACTGCCTGGCTGATTATCTAGCAGATACTTACACCAATAAGACCTCTACAAAGGAAATCTGGAATGATCTGGAGGAGCAATACAAGGATGAGGAGAAGCTTTCCAAGTCTCGCCTCATTGACAAATTTCTGGAGTTCAAGTTTGAAGATGATACTGAGGTTTGCCTCAAGTCAAAGTGCTTGAAAAGCTTGTTATGAAGCTGAAGGATGAAAAAATCAGTCTTTGTCAAACCTTCATTTCTGGTGCAATTGTCAACAAGCTTCCTCCATCTTGGATGTCATTTTCCACGGACATTTGAAGAAGAAAAAGATAGGTGATTTTATCTGATTTGAAGAGGTTCATTCGGATCGAGACGAGATTCGGACTCGTACAAAGAATGAGCTCCTAGCTAAGCAGAAGGCGTCTGCTAACATGGTGGCTACTAACTCTAAGAAGGCTACCAGTTCTTCTAAGAAAAAGAAGTCTTTTAACAAAAAGAAGAATCATAATCCGAAGAACCTGAATGTTCAGAAGAAAGATTTCAATAAGAACGGAAAATGCTTCAATTGTGGGAAGCAATGACATTTTGCCAAAGACTACAAAGCACCAAAAAAGGGAATAGTACACAATGTTAATCAACTTGATAATTGTGTGGTTATGCTCTTTCAGGTGACAACTCCCAGTAAAGTCTCCGGTTAGTGGTTAGATACAGGTGCTACCTTTTAAGAAAAGGTTGTGTTATCTTTTAAGAAAATATATTTTAGCAATGCATATCGTGCTAATGACATGTATAAGATCAGTACTATTGTACCCAACTCAGTTGTAAATGAAGTATCATCTTCTGCTTACTCCTCTGTATTATAGCATAATAGACTAGGACATGTAAATTATAGAAAGCTGTCTAGCATGGAGAAGTTAGGATTACTTTCAAAATGTGGGGGTAACAAACCTGAAAAGTGTGAAGTCTGTGCGCAAGCAAAGCTGACAAGGAAGCCGTTTCCAAGTGTCATAAGAAGCACCAACTTATTAGATCTGATTCACTCAGATACTTGTGATTTCAAGAGCTTCATCACTCAAGGCGGCATGAAGTACTTTATCACCTTCATTAATGACCACTCTCGCTTCTGCCACGTCTACCTGCTGAAATCTAAAGATGAAGCCTTCAGTAAGTTTGTCGAATTTCGGACTCGAGTAGAGAAGCAGCTTGGACTTTAGGTGAAAAGACTCAGGAGTGACAGAGGAGGGGAGTACTGATCCAAGGAGTCGGAGACATGTTTCAAGGAGCATGGAATCATTGCTAAAACTACTACTCTGTATTCTTCGTAATCTAATGGAATTGCAGAAAGGAAATCGTACATTGATCGAGATAGTGAATTCGATGCTAATCACATCCGGTCTACCTACATGCAATTGGGGAGAGGCTTCATTGATGGCAAACTGGATTTTGAACAGAGTACCATATTCTAAAACTGATAGTACTCCTCATCAGTTATGGTTAGGATATCCAGATCATTTGAATAGTCTCAAAGTGTGGGGGTGTCTCGCATATGTTCGAGTTCCAGATATCAGAACGCCTAAGCTCGGACCAAAGGCAAATAGATGTGTGTTTCTTGGCTTTACTGAAGATAGTGATGCTTGCAGGTTTCTTGACCTTGGAACTAACTCCATCATCAAAGCTCGGGATGCAAAATTCTTTGAGGATAAGTTTATCAAAGATAAAGGATTATTGCTCAAAAATATAGCAGAGAATGCTAGTACGTCATACGCACCAGAGGAGCCAGTTTAGCGAGAAACTGAAAGTGTCAGTGATGAAGGAGTTACTGAACCATCTTCCAAACGTGTTAGAAGACAGAAAGATTTTGGAGATGACTTTATCACCTATAATGTGGAAGGAGACCCACAAACTTTCCAAGAAGCAATGCAGTCAACCGACGTTCTTATGTGGAAAGAAGCTATAGATGATGAGATGGATTCATTGATCCAAAATCACACGTGGGAGCTGATGGATGTACCTGAAGGTGCTAGGCCTATCAATTGCAAGTGGATCTTCAAAAAGAAGCTTCGTCCTGACGGTACTATTGAGAAGTACAAAGCAAGATTGGTGGCGAAAGGATTCTCTCAGAGAGAAGGAATAGACTTCTTTGACATCTATGCACCAGTTTGCAGGATCGAAAGGATTCTCTCAGAGAGAAGGAATAGACTTCTTTGACATCTATGCACCAGTTTGCAGGATCACTACCATCAGAGTGCTTATCGCATGGGCGGCGATAAAAAGGTTCGTCATACATCAGATGGATGTGAATGCTGCCTTTCTCAATGGAGACCTCACAAAAGAGATCTACATGGAGAAAGCAGAAGGGCTTGATGCTCCACCTGGTAAAGTTTGTAAACTTATTAAGTCTCTATATGGACTTCAGCAGGCACCAAAACTCTAGCATAAGTAGTTTGATGGGGTTGTTCGCAACAATGGGTATCAAGTCAGTGAGTCTGACAAGTGCCTATACATCAAGGTCGCTAAAGGGAAGGTGGTGGTTATCTACCTCTATGTGGATGATATACTCATCGTCGGGAGTGATTTGGAGATAGTAACATCTACCAAGAAATTTCTATCAGCTCAGTTTAGCATGAAGGACCTTGGAACTACGGACGTGATTCTTAGAATCAAAATCATATACTCTGAAGAGGGTATTGGATTGTCCCAATCTCATTATGTCGAGAGCATGCTAAGAAAGTATGTCTACTACGACCTACCAGAACTGTCAGTGTCGTATGATTACAACAAGAAGCTTCGATCAAACACTAGAAGACCAGTAGAGCAGCTAAGGTACTCAAAGATAATTGGAAGTCTTATGTACGCGATGAGCTGCACAAGGCCAGATATAGCATTCGCTGTGGGAATGCTTAGTAGGTTCACAAGTAATCATGGAAAGCTTCACTGTGATGCTGTCTAGAGATTGATGAGATACTTAAAAGGAACTACAGGTCTGGGTCTATTCTACACTGGATATCCGGTTGTAATTGAAGGTTATTCAGATGCGAGCTGGTGCTCAGAACCAGATGAGTGCAGATCTACTGGAGGTTTTATCTTCACCATAGGCGAAGCTATCGTCTCGTGGAAATCTAAGAAGCAAACTATGATTGTACAGTCATCGATGGAATCTGAGTTCTTTGCACTCTGTGCTGTAGGAGATGAAGCTGAGTGGCTCAGTTGTATTCTCCGAGACCTTCCATTAATAGAATTACAAGACGCAATTATAATCTATTGTGATAATCAGGCAACGGGTGCTGTGGCAGCGAACTCGTTGTTCAATGGAAAGAAGCGGACCATTCGTCTGGAGCATGGCTATTTGAGAGAACTCATTTGCCAAGGAGTCATCTCGGTGATTGACGTTCGGTCTTCAGAGAATGTGGCTGATCCTTTGACTAAATGTCTGAAAAGGACATAGTCAAAAGGACATGTGCTGCAATGGGTCTCAAAGTTTTGTGAGTCTTACAAATACTTACCATGTTCATCCAATTATTAGTTCAAAGCTTACTGGTTCAAAAATCAAGTAAGATTTGTAAAGTTTTGTGAGTCTTACAAACACTTACCATTTTGTCAAGTTATTAGTTCAAAGCTTACGTAGTTCAAAGCTTACGCTACTAATGATAAGATAATTGGTTCAAAAGTCAAGTAAGATTTACAAGTGAAATCCTATCATGTAAAGAGGTTGGTTGTTAAGCCTTAATGGGTCCAAAGCATTTCGGATGCGGGATGTTAGATAGGTAACATGCCTAAATGACTCACCGATACTCCTATTATGTAAAGGGGTTGGCTATTAAGCCTTAATGGGTTCAAAGCATTTCGGATGCGGGGTGTTAGATAGGAAACACGCCTAAAGGAATCACCTAGAATCTTATCATGAGAGAGGATGGCTCTTAAGCCTTAATGAGTTCAAAGCATTTCGGATGCGGAATGTTTGATAGAAAACATGCCTAAAGAACTCACCTATGCCTGTGTGGAGATTTAGTCGTCTCCTATGGTGTATTGTGGAAAGATACCTAGAGCCCTATTAGAAACCAGGACTAGCACATGGCCATAAATGTGCAAAGACAAAGGCAAGTGTGGTTCAAAGTGAAAACTATCACAGATGAGTTTGATCTTGTGTGATCACTGGATTTTAGACATGAGCTGGTTCAAGTCTCTGTGACACCATGCATCTATCTTCTATTCAGTTGGTCTAAGGGGGATTCAAGTCCTTGCAACATCTACCTTATGCACAATGATTGAAACGACGACACCATAACATGACACTAGTTTAAAAATTTGTGGGGGATTGTTGGATTTTTTGGTCAAAACTACTTTCCAAAATGAGTTTTCAAACTATATATATATTAACGGCAAGCCGGGAAGTGTTTTATTTGAATTAATCTCTCATAAGTTCTAGTGGGTCGTGGGTCGTGGGTCGTGGACCGTAGGCCGTGGGCCGGGGATCGGGGCTAATCGGGCTGAGGCGCTAAGTAGCGCTTTGTTAGGCGTAGTTTGCACTTCGCACGGAGGCATCCGGGTAAGGTGGCGCTGTTTGGCGCCACGTTAAACCGAAAGGTTCTGAGATTGAGGAGATCTTTTGCCTTGACCGAAAGGTCTTATAGATCGAGGAGATCTTGACAGTACTGGGTTGGTGCACACCAGAGTACTGTACTGCTGTTCCTGCAAGCAGTTTAGCCTTGGGATCCTTGCACTGGAGTAGGTCAAATATTACTTTAAGCACAACGTTTCACAAACGCACAGCAGTTAATTGAAAAAGTTTAAAATAACAGCACATCATCCTTCACTGTTTATTTCCAGATTTAACCATAATTTCCAACAATAAGTTACAACAATCACTACCATATGTGTAATAAGAACTATATACAATTAAGTAAATGATTATAAATTGATTACAGACCTTTGCGTTTCAATCAACATGAATACTATGCTTATCGTAATAAGAACTGGATAAAAAAAAAGAATATTCTTTTCGTTACACAGTCTCTGGAAACTAAAAATCTCACTATTCAATGATCCAATTTATTCGCTAATTCAACCATAGCTTATTTATGTTCTTCCTTTTAGCTTTCATTTTCTTCTCTTTATTATTGCTCGCTATTCTTCGCAGCCAATTATTTGTTAAGATTTTAGTATTAGGCATCGAAATTACGCTCTACATTAGTTTCTCAAGATGCATTAGATTAAGATTTGCAAACTACGCACCAATGCAATTGTAGAATTCAGATAAAAAAGCATATTCTTTTAATTTTATAATTTTAATTTCTAGAAATAGATAAATTGTTGAAAATGAACAAGATGGACAAAAGTATTCTTTTAATCGTGAATCTCCTAACTCTTTATGTCTTTTACCATTGCTGGAAATATATACAAAGGATTTAGTATTGGAAGAGAAAACATATATCAAAATGTTTCAGTGGCAGGTAGTAATCACAAAACTTGCAATTCGAATGATAATCATGCAACACGATAGTAGAAAAGCTCCCATAACAAAAGAACTATGATCGGGGTTTTATAATTTTTCTTGAATAATGAGAAGTGTGTGATGAATATACTGGTTCTTCACAGATCACAGATTAATTAAACAACCGTTTATAGTGTCTAATTTACTCCACATAGAAACATATATAACAAAAAATTTGAGATAACAGAGATAATAGAAAATTTTTAATTTACCTTGATAGCTTGTACTCCTCTTATCAACCTTAGATTCCTGATATCATCAATCGTCAATACAAAAAATAAGGTAAGTCATGAACCAATCAACCAGAGAATAATAAATATGAATAGAGAAATAATGATAATAACTATAATAAGAATAACCACTACTTACAACTGGAAATAAACATCTTCTTTGCTCTATCAAAACTGAAGCAGGAAGTAATTTATACAACCACGAAATAATCAAAAATTTTAGTTAAGAAATATAAAGCCCTAGAAATTAGTACTATTTATAGCAACGACCAAAACTGAGGGGGTTGAAAAACAGACTAAATTGAGGCAAGAAGATAGAGCATCTAAATAATGTAGAGAGAGAGGGGGGAGGGACTAAGGAGAGAGCGATTAATGAGGGATTGTTGGTGGTTAGAAAATAGAGGAATCGGA